AAAGAAAAGCCGCCACTGCCTGTTTTACTGACAATTAAGAAAATTTATATATTACCAAATTATAATTATGAGTATGGTCGTTTCTGCTTCTCTTAATCTTCTAAAATTTGTGTCTTATTTAATTCAACACAAAACAATAAATATATATAAAGACATGGCAAACAATATAAATAATTATATATTATGACAACGTTTTCTTTAGTCTATATGATGGCAGTTCATAAAATATTGACCAGATCCGCTAGATATGCAGCAAATTGTGCACCCTTTAAAATATATATTGCCTGTGTATTGGAAATCTGTCAAATATTTTCCACAAATTGGCGTAAGCTATGAGTTGGCGTTCATATTGCACTATCTGCTTCATTCTGTTACAGGTCCGTAAGTCACTTTTAAAATTTGAAATATGCAAAATATTATTTTTGAGGTTTCTTGACAGGCAATCGTTTACGGATAGATACTAAAATAGTAAATGAACTTATTTCTATGTTTTCCATAAAAGCTAAACGTAAACAAATTAGTATACGGGTAATAAGCCGATCTTTCGGCTATATATCAGAAACTATTCATGTTATAACTTTAGGAGAAAAAATTCCTTAGTAAAAGTGGCCAAGAGAAATCGCTGGAAATAACTTTCAAGATTCTGGATTAACCGCTAGGGGGCGTAACCTGCGAAGAAAATTTTGAAAACCAGTTTTTTGGGAAATATGTCCAATTATACCAAGTGTTCAATAAGTAAACTAGAAAGAGGTATAAATTTTGCACAAAGTTGTTCAAGTACTTTTTTTTATTTGTTCAAATAAAGGGTGGGAGAGTGGTGGGAAAGTATTGGTGGATAAATACCTATAACTTTGGTTTTAATCAACCGATTTTAACAAAATTAGTGTCATTAGAAGTAGTGTTAATAAATTAATTTACATCTACTATAAAAAAATTGCATTAAGTTTTATTTGTCGTAGGTAGAGGGTACTTTCGAATAAAAAAAATTAAAATTTGTTTTTCTTACGACGTCGTTTAAAACAAGGACGAGAAAAACTACCAGTTTCTCTTAATCTTCTTGCCTTTCTTGACAATGTTTAATGGAAACACCTATTTATTGTAAATTATAATGGAACTGGATTAAATTCGTATAAAAATGGCGCAAACAGCATGTTAATAGCTTTTGTCGAACTCGAAATATGAATAAAAATGCATAAACGTAAGTAGGTATAATATTGGCACACCCTGTACTATGAATTAAATTAAAAAATAAGTCAGTAGGTACTTTCAAATTTTTTATAGCACAAGAATCTTAATGTTGATACCTATTTTGGCCATTGATATTTCATATGTTTAAAAATAGTTTTTTCGAAACTAAGTAGGCTACGACAATGAATTTGACAGTTCATATTGTTTATTTATTGACAGCAGTCAAAGCAAGGTTAAGAAGTGTTATGTGTATTATAATTCGAATTGAAGATTGGATTTTTTTTCTAATTGATATTAATATTGGTATTATTAGTAATTAATTATTAGTTCTAATAATTCATGATGAGTATATCAAATTGTATGATATGATTCGAGTTTATTTCGAATATCACCAAAATGGCGCTATTACCTCACGTATATATTTGTGAGATATCCTGACAGGGAACATTATGGCAAAGAAGTAGAGATTTGCCGACTACTTATATGTGGATTCTGTTGAATTAAAGCAAGAACATTGATTAAATTATCTTCGGTCATACCTCTACGACGTCGTTTAAAACAAGGACGAGAAAAACTACCAGTTTCTCTTAATCTTCTTGCGTTTCTTTCAAATACTTCCTTGCCATACTGTCTCCTGTCATATATCTTACAAAATATATACGTGAGGCAATAGCGTCATTTGGTAACATTCGAAATAAACTCCAATCATATCATATAATTTGATCTACTCATCACGAATTATTCGTACTGATAATTAATTAATAATATTACCAATACCAATATCTATTGAAAAAGGTGCAATCTTTAATTCGAATTATAATATAACACTTCTTAACAATGTTTTGACTGTTGTCAATAAATAAACAATATGAACTCCCCGTCAAATTCATTGTCCTAGACTACTTAGTTTCGAAAAAACTATTTTTAAACATATGAAATATCAATGGCCAAAATAGGTATCAACATTAAGATTCTTCTGTAATAAAAAAATTCGAAAGTACTCACTGACTTATTTCTTAATATAATTTATAATACAGAGTGTGTCAATGCTATACTTACTTATGTTTATGCGTTTTTATTCATATCTCGAGTTCGACAAAAGCTATTAACATGCGGTTTACGCCATTTTTGTTGCGAATTTAATCCAGTTCCATTATAATTTACAATAAATATGTGTTTCCATTAAACATTTTGAAGAAAAACAATTTTTTTTTATTTTAAAGTACCCCCTGCCTACGACAATTAAAACTAAATGCAATTATTTTATAGTAGATGTAAATTAATTCATCCACACTCTTTCTAATGACACTAATTTCGTTAAATCGTTTGATCCAAACCAAAGTTATAGGCATTTATCCACAAATACTTTCCTACACTCCCCCACCCTTTATTTGAAAAAATAAAAAATAAATACTTAAACAACTTTTTCTAGTTTACTTATTTAACACTTGGTATAATTCGGCATATTTCCCAAAAAACTGGGTTTCAAAGTTTTCTTCACAGGTTACGCCCTCTAGCGGTTAACCCAAAAACTTGAAAAATATTTTCAGAAATAGCCACAGCACTAAAGGCCTTAGAGGCTCATGGCTTAAAAAAATTTGTTCTTTCTTTATTTTCGCTTTTCTGTAGGTACTGAGATCTTCTCTGAATTATCGTCTATGTCGTCTATATGTTCGTTTCTTGCTTCTGCTTCCATATGTTTTGGTTTGACTTATTATTGCCATTTAGTAATTCATCAAAATACTCTTTCCATCTTTCGACTATTTTTGCTTCCTAGCTTATATTATTTTCTGCTTTGTTTTTAACGAATATGGGTTTTGTTAGAAACCTTTTTTTTTTCATTTCTAGCACCTTGATATAGGTTTTTTATTTTTTATTTTTGTAATTCTCTTCTATTTCTTTTAGCTTATTTTCTATGTGTTTTTTCTTCTTTTCTCTCAGCATCCTCTTTACTTTTTGTCTTTGCTCCCTATATCTATTCTTTGTCTCTATTATTTCTTTCGTGATCATTTCCATCCTTAATGATTTTCTTAGTTCTATTTCTTTTTGGCACTCTATGTCGAACCAGTCTTTAATCTTTTTATTCTCTTGTTTATTACATTCTTTTGCTGCTTTGTTCATTATTTGCTTTATGTTTTCCCATTTGTTCTCAGTTTGCTCTTCTATTTGAATCTTTTTTAGTTCTTTTTCCATTGTTTCCTCGTATATTTCTTGCTCTTTCTTTATTACTAATCGAATTGGGTTATGTATACATTCCTTTTTTTTTTATTTTGTTTTTGTTTTCTGGTATCAGTTGCTTAATTTTGATACCCACCATGTAATGATCTGAGTCAGCGTCTGGTCCTCTGTATGTTCCTATCTACTTTATATATTGCTGTTTCTCTTTTTCGATGAGCACATAACAACAACAAGAAGATAAGATAAGATAAGAAGGTAAAACTCTAACCTGATGGTGTGTTTGTTTAACACCTTTTTATACTTCACTTACCATTCGTAAGTTATTTTTTCCATGTTTTTGTATATTATTGCCTACCACCAGGGTAATATTTCTTAGATTGAACTGATGAAGCTTGTGAACTCCACAAGCGAAACGTCTTCAAATATAGGAATGGAAGAGTGATTTCCTTGTATTATTTCTCCTTTGACCGATATCCTCGAGATCAGATTTTTCCTTTTAAAACCTACTTCATTGAATATATATATATATATATATATATATATATATATATATATATATATATATATATATATATATATATATATATATAAATGGGGTCATATTTTTTAAGCTAAATACTTCAGACCTATCAAGGTAATTCGTTCGGTAGTCGAAAACTAAATATTTTATATACACTCCATCATTGAATCGATCAAATCAAGCTAAAAACTCTTATAAATGTCAGTTTTTATTACCAACACGCACGAGCTGCTGCTACCTGAGACGGTCCTGAGAGAAAATATTGTCGGTTTATAGAAAGAAGACTATTTCTGACAGCCTTATCAGCTGCAAAACAAATTTCGCAGCTTGTTTGAGAAATTTTCGTTTTGAGGGATTGGAATATGTCGGGAAATGTTTGTTGATTCTCTTGTAAGGATAAGAAATGAGCATTTATCTTTCGAGAAATTGTTTGCGCTTGTAAATATGATTTTTTATTTGTGTTTGCCAACTGGTTGATATTTATTGGAAAATACGAACTGTAATAACGGAATAAATCAATGGATTTGATCTGTCAAATTACTGAGTGTACTGGAATTTTATATTCATATAGATTCTGTGATATGCGGTATATTCGTTCAATGTTTATCGTTTAAAATCATGTAGCTAAATAAAAATAGAACTAATAAAATATTTGATTATCTAAGTTAATAACAAATTATTAAAACAGAAAGAGAAATACACTAATCAAAGTCAAGCATATTTTATCACCACTCAAAATATAAATATCCAAAGTCTAGCAAATGTTTAATGAAACTATAAATTATAATTACGCGCCGTAAGTGGTTAAATGTAGTCAAAATCACGTGCTCATCATAGATTCTAAACAACTTTGAATCCGGTCATTGGCAGCGTGACAGAAAATAAGTTTTCTTGCTATCACTTTACATTGTAACAGTAGAATATTATATTTCAGATTATAATGTTAAAAATAATATATTATATCTAGTTTATAAGATAAGGTTAAAAAAGATATATAGTTTATATGTTAAGGATAATTAAAGATATAATTGAAAAAAGCTCAGATAATGCCAAAAAGTTGGATAAGCCAGATCAACACTATTTAAAAAATATTAGAGAAACATCAATTATTAATATGCCCCTTCTCATCGGTAACTAGTAGAGATTAGCTGTTTATTTAATAATCGATAGTACCTTACGAAAAATTGATTAAACCATAAATAATAATCTATCAGTTGGCGTTATATAAGCGATAGGGAAATATCCGTTATCAGTCTTACTGTAAGCTTAGCTAATACTAATGACAAAAGCTTTGCACAATTTGTATAATGTTGGTGCTCTCTGCTCTCGAGATAAGCTCCAACGAAGTTTGGCTAAACATAGTGCATTAACCTGTAATATCGTAATATCCATATTCATCAACAAAATTACTCTTCCAAATAATCCACTTACCGTTAAATCAAAGGCGGATGGAAACTGGATTTTCAAAATTAATATATTTTCGTTAAGGCATTATAGATATTTTAAAACTAATCGTACAACTTACAATAGCTTAACTTACTAGCAGTCAAATAAGGTTGAATATAAATTTTTACAACAAACTATTAAAAGAGAAATAAAAGTGAATAAATAACACATTTGCAGTAAAGTTGTTTTAATGAATAAATCTTCTTTTAGGGATGAAGCAATTCCTAGCATGTAGTTATTTATTTTAAATACAGCCTAAGAGAAAATGTATCTTTAATATTTTTACTGGTTAATATAATATACAATATGTTCTAGCAGATCTGAAAAATGATGTATGTGTATTCATCTTATAGTTTATTAATATAAGAAGAATTAACAACACTAGGAATCCTAAGATTTTCTACTTGAAGGAAATTGGCGAAATTGAAGTAAATCTGTAAATCTGTAAATCTGTGCTTTCTAAAACTTGCAAAGCAGACAGATTGATGAATTAGTCGGCAAGGGAATCTAAAATATGCATTCCGCATGCCGTTCATCATGGTCAAAATTACTGTAGCGTTCAATGGCGTTCAATAGTCAATGACAAATGTGTTATTGTGTTTAAAGTTTAGACTACCTGAGTCACGAGTGGCAAAATCATTGTCAAGCTGTTGTTTTATTTTGCGCTTAAGAAATGCGACCACCAATTCTTCTCATTATTATCAGAGGGTTGAGTGACTTGCTTTTACTGTTCAGGCGGCGCGCCTAATTGTTATCACACAGATGTTGTCATCTATTGACGACTTTTCATTTATCACGACTCAGTTTGAATTATATATCAGTGTGTCAAGAGTCAACATGTTTTCGAAAAAGCCTAAAGTGTTCTCGCTGGAGGAAAAGTTGTCGATAACCCGAGCAATAGAAGAAGGTTAAAAGCAATCGGATGTCGTTCGCCGCAGTCTTAGTCAACTGTGGCTACGATATGGAAGAACAGAAAATAGTAGCTTAAAGCGGAGATGGAGGGCGATAGCAGGAAGAAGTTCCGGAAACCTCAGCACGAAGATTTAAAACGCGCTTAAACCATATTCCACTTACTGGGCCTGTGCTTAGAGCAAAAGCCTGTGCGTTGATGGAAAGCTCTCTAAGGAATGAATTACAATTTTAGTGGCCGCTAACATGACAGGTTCGGTGAAACGAAAATTGTTAGTGAATTGTTAGGAAAAACCCACGTTGCTTTAAAAACATAAAAATCTACAGGTGACCTATAAAGCAAACAAGAGTGCGTGAAAGATGTCGGAAATTTTTGAAGAGGCGATAAGAAAGTGGGATATCGAGCTTAAAGGGAAAAAAATCTTGTGCTTGTAGACAATTCTCCTGCTAAACCTATACTGTGCTACCTTTAAAACATTGAACTTTGTTTTCTGTCAGCAAACACAACGAGTGTCCTTCAGCCTATATAACAAAGTGCCATCAAGAGTTTAAAAAGCCATTACAGACTTTTGATGGAATTGTCTAAGAACAATGGCGATCTTAAACTAAACATTCTTGATGCCACCCTAATGATTAGTGAATCCTGGGACGAGGTGACGAGCAATACAATAAAACATTCCTTCAAACACGCGGGATGGCTGGAAGATCAATGATTGACTTGTGATGAAGATGACCTGCCATTAGATGTTTAGGCCACACAGTTTAAACTTACTATCACCTACTGACCGGAGGAGCAAACATATTTTAAAGAAGTTGATAAAAACTTTAGGCATTGAATGCGGCAAAAGTACTACATCGATTCTTCATTCACCAGGAAGACGATATGAGTGCTGTGGAAGATTATATTCGTATTCAGGACAAGGTCAGATCAGTTCTGTGGAAAAAAAGGAAACAGACCAAGTGGACTGACTTTTTTATTAATATAGGCTAAATATATTTTACAGTAGCATGTAGTGTACAATACAGTGTCAATTCATTTATATTAATTTTGTTAAATTTATTAAAATAGGATATTTAGTACAGTAATATTAATATTACAGTACCGAATTTTGTCTCTCTTTCTTTCTCACTGTATAACGATCTCCTTGTAAGGATGAAAATTCCCGGTCCGTTGCATATCGTTATAGAGAAAGAGGACTGTACGTCATAAATAAATAAATTTATTTGCATTCATCCACAAGAATACCAATAATTTCATAAAATCTTTTTCTTTTGATAAAACTGAATACTTTTCCAAGATTAAATGAAGAATAACTTTGAGTAAAAATTACTTTTGCTCTCCGGAATTTCTCTATGAAGTTACTGTATCAAAATTTAGAATTGTCAGATTATATGGTCTGGTATATAGTCAGATAATTTTATGATATTTTACATATTGTACATTTAAAACTCAAACTACTAGTACAAAATAAAAAATAAAACGAAATACGAACATCGATACTTTGTTCATCAATCAATGTCAGGAACATACTGAAATGCATTTTTATTTGAGAAAGAAAATAAAAAATCTCCTGCTATATTTAAATCAATACTTTTTATTAATGATGCGCATTAATTTATACATACTCTTTCTATTGAAACATTAAAAAAATATTTTTTGTGTGTACAGATTACGAATACTAACAAACATTTTTTTTTGCAGATAAAGCTCCTTCAGAGGCTGTATTTCGTGGAACAGAATTCCTCTCCTACGACTTGAGTCAGACTGGAGGAGAACCCATTGTCAGTGCTCAAGATTCTGTGATATTTTATTTCAAAACCAGGCAACCTAATGGATTGCTTTTTTACACAGGTGAGCGCACTATTGTTGTATGAAAATACTTATATGTACTAAATACCACATAAACTGATGAATGCTGTCGCTTGCGTAAATATATTGTTACAAATACGCAGATTTTTTATACTACAGAAATAGAATATAATAGAATTGAGCAATAAAAAAATGTAAAGTTTTTTCATAAAAGTTTTATTGACTTATTTTTACGGTACTTTTTGAAACTGAATCCAATAATGATAATAGCTTTTTTCTTCAAACGTCAAATAATGATGACATTACTTATCTTACTTGATCCTGTCAAAGTATGACGTCTCCGCCGGCAGCAGTTTTTTTTTCCATTTCTTTACGGCGGAGGGAAAAATGTTGTCATGGCAACAATATGAAACATATCACAAAGCAACAGTACAAATGCCATTAACAACAATTAAACATAATTTTTATTTATAGTAATATTAAAAGTACAATTAGTTAATGAGGCATTTTCAAAATTGAAACAGTGCAAAAATGTTCCTGACTCTTGATACGCATTGGTAATTGTTGATCATACTTTAATAATTGCAAACAACTGTCAAACAACTGTAACCAGGGAGACGCAAATCCCACCGACGACTTAATTATTTTAATTTCTAACATCTAGATGACTTTGATAGTTGTCACAGTTAATTTCGAATAAAAATAGCGTATGAATTGTACTATTTATGGTTGAAAATTGCTACGTTTAAAGAAAAAATAGTATATAGGCCAATCAAGTTAGGTTTTTACTCATCACAAGTGTATAGACGGGTTTGACAGTTGAAATAAGTAGTATGAGATATTACAAAAAGACTCTTATCTAGGGATTCATGAATTTTTTAGTGGAAATATTTTTAAATAAACAATTAAAACGTCAATATCATTATTTTGCCCATAACTTATAAACTTGTCTATTTAGAGATTTGACGTCCACAGAAAAGTTGTTGAGAAAAAAAAATACACAAAATGAGATATACTAAATTAAAATCGGTTAATAAACAAAAAAGTTATTGCATAATAACCAAGCAAAACCACTGTTTTTGATTATTGTTAATTACTCTTTTATTAATCAATAAAATTTATTTAAATGTATCTGAACTTAAAGACCTTATCGTGTTCGAAGTGTGTGCGAAAGATAGGCTAGATCGGTCGAATAGTTTTTGCACAATTTAATTTGTTTATAAGATTTTTTGAAAAATGCACAAATTTCTAAGGCCGGTCCAGATAATTTGACTGAATGGATCTTAATAATCCGGGGCTTATTTTCTTTGTTGAGACATATATTAATATCCTATGGAAAAAAAAGTTAAAAAAAATTACGTTTATGTACACAAAATGATTTAACAATAAATAACACTTTTTAAGCTTATAAACATTTACAATAACTCCGTACTATTTAGTTTAAATTTAATGGCAATAAAATATTCGGAAGGCTGGTTAAAAAACACAACTTTAAAAAAAAAGAAAAAGGTCCTGCGACCATTAGGAGCCGAGTTAGTCCTTTTTTTTTAAATCACTGTTACGTCAATTAACAACATTAAGGGCTGAAATTAACCAATCTTTTAGAAGAAAAGTCAAAGTTTTTAACAAAATATTTAGCAAACAAAATAATTGAAAATTGATTAAACAGGAGTGTTGTAAACCAAGAGTACTTTGCGTTCCGACTCAAATGGAAGGAGTGGGGATTGCCGATTGCACTCAAGCCGCGCTCTAAAAAAAGTCGAGCGCACGTCGAAAGCAGATGCTGTTAGGCCGTTTAAGTTAACAACTCATTTTCCTGCGACTATACAACCGGTTTGTTGTATTGAAATATTTAGTGTTTTGTTTTATTTAATAATTGTTACAAATAATTAATGGTAAGTAAAATTCATCTGAATATTAAAAAAAACTACGTGTTGTTCACTGTGTTGTGTACCACGTTGTCTGAATAATATACGGTTAACTTTGAATATAATATTATTTTACTATTATTATAAGTTTACGTGAAAATGAAACTATGATATTATTTATATGGAAAAATTATTAAATATTTCTATTTTTATTTTAAAACATGATATTTATTGTACTAATAAAGATTTTAAACATTTATTTCAAAAATGTGAGTACACTGCTTTAAATTGTATACGAATGTATAAAATATAATGTATAATTTTTGAAAGTTAACCAATGAAATTTAACGTACAGACATGTGCGGTACATGCATAGAAATTCAATGTACTAATATTTATGAAATTATTAATGAAGAAGAAAACGATACAACAGATGAACAAGAGATAGTTGATGAAATGTATTTAACTGGGTTTGATGAGAATACCGACAATGAAAAAAACAACGAAATGATTTATGAAAGTTATAATACAAGTGAAATTGAAGATGAAAGTGAAGATGAATGTTTACATAGTAGTAGCAGTGATGATATAGAAATTAAGCGTAGAAAATTACAGTAAATTAAATTGTTTTAAAAAATCACTACACAAAATTTCAACTTCTGTAATAACATAAAATAATTTATTATTTCATTAATAAATTTTTAGTAAACATTATTCAAAATGTTTATTTACTTATAACATTTATTTAATATATAAATATATATTTGAAATAAATAAATAGAAAAATAACAATAAAATACGACTTAAGAAAAAGTTTGTACATTCCGTAGTCATTAGCTGCTTTGTTTTGAATAATTTTGCAATGAAAGTACGTTAAATGTTATTATTTTAACGTTGTACCACAGTTTAAAAAAAAAGAACAAATTTGGTCCACTAGAACCCGAGATATGTCATTTTTTTCCAAGCACTCTATTTTGAAACCGTGCGCTCGACTTTTTTGGAGAGCGCGGCTTGTGTGCAATCGGCAATCCCCACTCCTTCCATTCTAGTCGGAACGCAAAGTACTCTTCGTTTACAACACTCCTGTTTAAACAATTTTCAATTAGTTTTTTTGCTAAACATTTTGTGAATAACTTTGACTTTTCTTCTAAAAGATTGGTTAATTTCAGCTCTTAATGTTGTTAATTGACGTAACAGTGATTTTTTTTAAAAAAAGGACTAACTCGGCTCCTAATGGTCGCAGGACCTTTTTTTTTTTAAAGTTGTGTTTTTTAACCCGCCTTCCGAATGTTTTATTGCCATTTAATTTAAACTAAATAGTACGGAGTTATTGTAAATGTTTATAAACTTAAAAAGTGCTATTTATTAATAAATTATTTTGTGTACATAAACGTAATTTTTTTTAATTTTTTTTTCCACAGGATATTAATATGTCTCATCGAAGAATATAAGCCCCGGATTACTAAGATCCATTTAGTCAAATTATCTGGACCGGCCTTAGAAATTTGTGCATTTTTCAAAAAATCTTATAAACAAATTAAATTATGCAAAAACTATTTGACGGATCTAGCCTATCTTTCGCACACACTTCGAACACGATGAGATCTTTAAGTTCAGATACATTTAAATAAATTTTATTGATTACTAAAAGAGTTATTAACAATAATCAAAAACAGCCGTTTTGCTTGGTTATTATGCAATAACTTTTTTGTTTATTAACCGATTTTAATTTAGTATATCTCATTTCGTGTATTTTTTCTTTCTCAACAACTCGTCTGTGGACGTCAAATCTCTAAATAGACAAGTTTATAAGTTATGAGCAAAATAATGATATTGACGTCTTAATTGTTTATTTAAAAATAGTTCCACTAAAAAATTCATGAATCCCTAGATGAGAGTCTTTTTGTAATATCTCATACTATCCATTTCAACTGTCAAACCCGTCTATACACTTGTGACGAAAAAACGCTTATTTTCTACTAACTTGACTCGTCTAATACTTTATTCGGCAAAGAAGCGACTTTACAAAGCGGCAAAGATTTTTAAATTCGCTGTATCTTTCGACCGAAATATACACATATTTCTTTGTAGTTTGTTAGAATATAAAAAAAAAATTTTAAAAATAAATTTAAAAAAATAGAAAAAAAAAAACTTGGACAATCCATAGTAAAATAGCTATTGAATTAAGTAGAGTAGTAGCTGCGGAAGAGTTTGCTGTGGAACTTTGAGGAACTCATCACCTATTTTATATATAATATAACTAAAACCGCACAGAAAACATAAAAAAATTAGAAACAAATTACCAAAAAAAAAAGACTATATACACTTGCGTGCATAGAAATCAGCCCACTGTAAACTTTTGATTTTAACTATATTTTTTTCAAGCAATATTCATCATATCACAAAAACAAATATACTGTTTGAAAGACAATTTAATATGCTTTAAGGTGAGTATAAATTTATCAAGAAGGCTTATCGTTTACATGCGTAGTAACCGGTAAACAAATGAAACGTGTTTATGTGGTGATTGTCACGAAAATAACAAATTTGTCTAATTGTAAAAGTATTGCCTTTGTAAGTGAAATTGGCATATTATTCGTTTTTTATAATCTTAGCAGTGTTCAAGTGTGTTAGTTTAATGCATACTACACCACAAAAAGCCGCCCAAGTTATTGCTCTAATCGAAAATGGACTTAGTCAGCGAGCTGTTGCTAGACAATTTGATATGACACGCACAGCGGTTCGAAGAGTTTACCAACGTTATGAGGAGACTGGATCCTTTTATAGGCGACCTGGAACAGGCAGATGGCGATTTACAACCGCTCGTGATGACCGCTTTATTGTGTCAACAACATTAAGAAATCGTCACCTTAATGCCGTTCAGGTGCAACGACAGCTCCGTGAGGTGCAAAGAGTGGCTGTTAGTCAGTAGACAGTAAGACGAAGACTGCGGAAAAATAACCTGACCCCTAAAACACCTGCGATTGGTCCAAAACTTACTCCAGCTCATCGGCAAGCACGCCTGCGTTTTGCACAGGATCATCGGAATTGGACGTTGGAACAATGGGGATCTGCTCTGTTCTCAGATGAGACCAAAATATACCTCTATAGTGGCGACCGAAGAAGGAAAGTGTACTGGAGACCAGGAGAGAGATTTGCAGAATGCTGCTTTGAAGAGCGGAGTGGTTCTTGCATGATCTGGGGTGCAATTTCTATAGGAGCACGAACCGATCTTGAGTTCATTCGTAGGGACGATCGTGTTCACGGAAGAAGAGGTTTAACGGCTGCCAGATATATCGAGGAGATTTTAGCAATTCATGTGGTACCTTACGTCGACTACATTGGAGACGAATTTATCTTTATGCATGACAATGTAAGGGCACACACAGCAAGAATAGTGCAAGATTGCATTGCAGAAGTCGGTTTTCAGGTTATAGACTGGCCAGTAAACAGTCCTGACCTCAATCCAATTGAACATTTATGGGATGAGCTAAAACGAAGAAATCGAGCTAGACTTTATACCCCAGACTCGATCCCAGAGCTTATTCTTGCAGCAGAAGAAGAGTGGCTTAACATCCCACAAGCAACAATAGCAAACTTAATTAGATCTATGCCTAATCGTATGAGAGATGTTATTAGAGCAAGAGGAGGTCATACCCATTATTAAAAAATAAGTGTTAAGTTTTAAATTGTTAATAACCCTATTTATGTTAATAATAAAAAAGCTTAATTTGCTTAATGAATTCATTTCACTATGTTAAACATAGGAAGCCGAAATGAGTTTTCATAAATTTATACTCACATTAAAGCATATTAAATTGTCTTTCAAACAGTATATTTGTTTTTGTGATCTGATGAATATTTCTTGAAAAAAATATATTTAAAGTCAAAAGTTTACAGTGGGCCAATTTCTATGCACGCAAGTTTATTGGAGATCAATACTATTAATAGATTTAGGATAAGATTTTATACCAAACAATGACTACTGAATAAATGAGAAAAAATTTTAAGACAAACAAACTTCAACTTTTTACAAATAAAACAACTAAAAATTACTACTTCGTTTAAAAATTGACACCTTTAATTTAATATCATTTTCAGGTGACGGAAATGACTACTTAAACGTCGCAATCAAAGATGGAATTCTCAGCCTGACAATGGGTCTTTCGAACGGCAAACAAGAAATGCAGATAAAACCTAACAAAGTTCGCTTCGATGACAATCAGTGGCATAAAGTTAGCATACACAGAAGGATACAAGAGGTAAGTGTTTACGAGTTATTATTAGACTTCGGCAAATATGCATATTACATATTTTGCATATTGTGCATATTTTATGCAAAGATTTCATATTTTGGCATATTTGTATAAAAGTTTGCATAAAGTGCATAAAAGTTCAGATTTTTATACCGTATTTGAAAATTTATAAACATACCAATTTATTTCAATTCTTGTATAAAATTTTGTAGTCATTTTAATCAAGAAATGATCTAAGTACGTAATCTCTACAGGTACAAAACATTTACAATTTCAAAGAAGATCAATTTAAGTAGCCCTCAACATTCTTAGAAAGTCTCGGTCACTAAGGCATTCAGTTATTGCATTTTATGATCTAATCCCCAAATCTATCTACAATTTATTGTATCTTAACAGCAGGTAAACGGCTAATAGTTTTGTTCCTAATTTAGGGATATTCCAAAATCTCCCAGTTTATTGAATTAGGTACCTAAACATTTCTAATTTGTCGAAAGAAATTGCAAAAAAGTATTTTTGAAGTGTGTATATTTATATACACACTTCAAAAATACTTTTTTGCATTTTCTTTCGACTTGTCATAAGTGTGTACAAAAAAATATCAGTCTTTTGATTTCTAATTTGATGCTCAGATTTGTAAATCATTTTTGTTTTGATATTCAAAGCGTAAACACTCGTTGTGCGTAACAAAAAGGAAGATTGTGATTTTATAATGCCTAAAACAACCAGTGCTTCAACTTAGATTAAACCTTAAAAAGAGCTGTCTATGGATATGGGAAAAATCTACTGTTCAGTCTGTGGCAAAATTGTAAGTATCTAATATTTTCTATTAAATATCTAATATTTCATACATACAGGGTGTTTCTAAATGACACTTACAACGTTTGACTGTAGATACTTCTCGACAAATTGAACAAAACGATATAGTTAATGATGGGTCAAACTTATTTACTTTTCGAGATACAGGGTGTTAAAATTAAAAAAAATTAAATTCTTTTAGTTAATAACAACAATAACTTTAAAACCAATAAACGTATTTACTTGAAATTTAGTACTCGTAGGTTGTTTTTAAATGAAAAATAGCTACCTTTAGTGAGAAAAAATTGTCCATGGTACAATACAATGGTGTGTATTTTGAAAAATTTTTCACCTTTACTTTTTTTTTATGAAGTCAGCTATTCTAAAACACAATTATTTTTATTGTAATTGAATTAACAAAAAAAACTTGTTGAATTTTAAAATAAGTTATATGATGTACTAATGGTTAGTAACAAAAACTAATTTGTGGATTAATACTGCATTTAAAACACTTAGCGAGTGTTTTTTTTTTTCAAACCAGTTATTTGATTAACCAAAAACACCTTGTATATTTTTATATTTTAAAGGTTGGGTTAAAATAAAGGTTTTTATTTTTATTTATAGATAGCATGTGAGAAGAAATTTTAGATAGACCAACATGTGAGAACTGCTTCACACATTGCAAAAAAAGGAAAAATAGGAGGAAAACATCAAACTTCAATGGCTAAATGTTTCCAATCTACTTTAAAAAAATTAGATGAGCAAGAAACTTTTAATGAAGACTTGTGTCGCGCATTAGTGTCTGCAAACATACCGCTTTCAAAATTAGCAAATGTAAATTTTAGTTCGTTTCTAAAAAAATATTGCAAACTTAATGTTCCAAGTGATCGGTCTCTAAGAAGAAATAATGTGAACGGACTATACTCGTCGGTGTTAATTAATATTAGGAAGAAATTGCAGATAATTATTTTTACATATCTGTAGACGAAACCACTGATTCCTCAGGAAAGTATATTGCTCATTTATTGATTGGTGTTCTTAAAGAAGATACTTTACCAAAATCTCATCTTATTTCATGCCAGCAACTTGAGAAAACAAATGCTTTAACAGTTTCGCGTTTTATACAAGAAACATTAGCAACTTTTTTTCTTCCGACAACTATTCCTTCTAATAAATTACTGCTTATTTTATCGGATGCTGCTCCTTATATGGTGAAAGCAGGACAAAATTTAAAAATATTTTTCCCAGATTTAATACATGTTACTTGTGTAGCGCATGGATTAAACAGAGTTGCAGAGGAAATACGAAAAAAATTTCCTCTTGTAAATACCATGATATCCAGTGTCAAAAAAGTATTTCTTAAATCTCCTATAAGAATTCAACTTTATAAAGAAATGCTACCTAACATTCCTCTTCCACCACAACCTATTTTAACGCGACGGGGAACATGGTTAGAAGCAGCTAATTTTTATGCAGATCATTTTGTTAAAATAAAGAATATAATTGATACGTTAACAGATGAAAGTTCCCAATCTCTTTTGGATTCTAAACAAACTTTTTAGGGTAACTTGCTTCAACAAGAATTTTTATTTATAAAATCAAATTTTAGTTTTGTTCAAAAAACAATTACTCAGTTAGAATCACCAAAACTGTCATTGTTCGAAAGATTAGCATTAATAAAAGAATTTGGGTCATGTTGTCGGAACGTTAGAGGTAATATTGGAAAAGATATTTTAAAAAAAATTGAAGCTACTATGGAAAAAAATAAAGGTTACCATATTCTTTCTGAAGTAGTCAGTGTTCTAGCTGGAAATATTTCGGAAACAATTAATTTAGAACCAAATGTTTTGGTTAGTTTGAAAAATGCTCCCGTTACATCAGTTGATGTTGAACGAAGTTTTTCCATATATAAATATATGGACTCAGACAGAAGCCACAAGTTTTTGTTAGAAAATTTTGAACACCACTTGGTCATTTATTGTTACCATAATTCTAAATAAGTTTATTCATACTTAAAAATGATGTATTTACCTAAAATAAATGTAAATCTTAATGAATAGTAGGAAATATTTAGTTATGTACACTTTTTTTTTAAATAAAATTGTTACTATTTTACGATTTTTTTATTTATTTGTATGCATATTTTGTAAAATATTTGCATATTTTCGGGTAAACACGTGCATATTTATGCGCATATTTTCTACATTTTTATTTGCATATTTGCCGAAGTCTAGTTATTATGATGTTTCCTAGCAATGTAAGTTTTCTTTTCACAATCGTGCAAAAATCCAATCTGTATGGAATTATATTTAATAAAAACACTGGTTTAAATCCAAAGACTTAAAATGAATATTTTTCAGTATATTTATAGTTAAAAAGAATATTTTATGATTATCAAATGTACGATTGAAATCCATCTAGAGGTAATTGAGTATTAAAAAAGCGAAAAGATTCGTGTTACACTTTTCCGTTGTAATGTCAGTAATAAAAGTAAAAATAAAACAGTCGCTGCTAAATTTCAAACTACCTTTTTGATCAATTGCAATAAAAATAAAATAGCTCATCGTCGTAAATCAGCTTGTATTTTATTACGAGCGTTAACAGTTCCAGCTTTCCGGTTGGTAATTGACCTTCCGTTTCGTTTCCACTCTAAAACTTATAATTTTACGACTCTGCTGTACTCAGACCACTGAAATTTAGTATTTCAATTGATTTTGTTTTTCTCGTGTGAGACCTAGGAAACAATACACAGATGGGTTGTTAAAAAAATTGCAGACCTGATTAATCCTAATTCTTATATTTACCCCAGCGAACAAATGTATTAATAGCGATGTAAAGTCGAATTATATTTATATACAATGCAGTTATTGTAATAAACTTTTAAATTATCTTTAAAAAAGATATAGATTGCAGATGCAGATTGCAAAAACTTTGGAAAATATTTTTGCTTTTTTTAAGAGATATCAACAAATGACACTTTCGTGGACAGCTATAAACTCCATGAAATCATTGTTTCTTAAACACAATTCTACCATGATAATTAAAATATTAAAATAGAAATAACTCAGAGTATAAACGAAAACATAATCTGATTTGAAGAAAAATCAGGGAAGCCAAAGAGTTATGGATGCGAGCAAAATGTGAGGAACTAGAAGAATTGCAACGAAAACATGACGAATTTAACACACATAAGAAAATAACATTAACGAATAATGAAGGTCATGCATTATCCCTAGAAGACGAAGTAATGGACGAATGGGAAAACTACATTAAAGCATTATTTAAGGATGATCGAGGATCACTACCTAACTTAAGTGCAAATACAGGACCATCAATCTTAAAAGCTGAAGTGGAAAAAGCCATACACCAAGCCAAAAACAACAAAGCCAGTGGACCAGATCAAATATACAGCGAATGGCTAAAATTACCCTCAAATGACAATACAAAAGAACTCACTGTACTTTTCAATCAAATATATGATACCAGTGAAATTCCATCGGACTGGTTAAAATTAATCTTTATTCCTCTACCTAAGAAACCAAACGTTAAGAAATGTAGCGATTGTAGACTCATTAGTTTAGTAATGCCGTTAAAATACTGTTGCATATTCTTCTAAACCGAATTAACAAGTGCGAAGAAATAATTAGTCAAGAGCAGTTCGGGTTCCGGAGATGCCTTGGAACTAGAGAAGCACTATTTTATATGCAAACACTCCTTCAACGATGTTGGGAGGTAAGAAAACCCGTATATATGTGCTTCATTGATTTTGAAAAGGCATTTGATCGCGTTCAGCATACCAGACTAATTACCGCATTGCAGAACATCCAACTAGATGAGAAAGACAAACTTATTGCCAAACTTTACTGAAAGCAAACAGCCATTATTAATACCAACAACAGAGAATCAAAGCCAATCAGTATTAAACGAGGCGTAAGACAAGGCTGTATACTACCTCCCACCCCGTGTATTCTGAGAATCTATTTAGGGAAGCTTTAAAAGATCAAAGAGGAATTATCATAGGACGAGAAATAATTAACAATATACGGTACGCCGACGATACTGTGATTCTGGTTGAAAACATCGAAGATCTGCAGGAGCTAATTAATAGAGTTGACATGGAATGCACAAATTGGGGACTGTCGATAAATATCGAT